AAATAAAAATATAAAATTTTTGAGCACTTTAGGTTATTTTCTGAGCACTATACTTATTTCGAAATAAAATGATAAACGTTTTTATCTTGAAATAAAAATATAAAATTTTTGAGCACTTTAGGTTATTTTCTGAGCACTATACTTATTTCGAAATAAAATGATAAACAAATATTTTATTTGTATCTGATGACATTATACAATAAATATTTATAATTTGATAAATTATATTTAGTTAAATTATTAATATATTATGATAATTGATTATTAAATATTCAGTGTTTATTAATGTTAATTTTATTATATATTAATTAACTTTTCAAAAAAAAATCAAAAACTATTACGATCAAAAAATATAAATTTAATGTCTGATTTAAATCATCCTATTTGGACCCAGTTTGCATCTAATGATGCTAATAATTCTATAATTTGTTTAGAATGTAGTCATTATTATTCATCAACACCAAGAGTAACAACATTAAAGAATCATTTTATTGTTAAACATCCCGAAATATGGGAACGTATCAGAAAAAACAAAAAGAATGGAGGTTATAAAGGCAAAAATAAGCAAAAATATATCCAAGAACAACAAGAAGAAGCTTCTAATTCTTCAAGTGTCAATGTTGAATCCAATCATGAAAATGAAGAAAATTTTCAGATTGAAAATAATGATATTAATATTTCCGAAAGTATAGAAAATATTGAAGGTCAGATTATTCGAAAAGATAATTCTAATTTAAATAATGGTTTTAGTATAGTTAAAAATATCAAAAGTATTGAAGTTGTGAATAATAAAAATTTTGAAATTGAAATTAAAGATAATAAGATTAAAATTAATGGAAAATGTAAAATTGAATTTAAATGATTTTTTTTTATTTTTAATTCATCAAGTTTTTTTTTACATTTATATTTTTTTTAATCAATCATTTATTTTATTATTTTTTTTATTTCTTTATAACAATATTAAATAATTATTATTTTTATAAGATTAATTTTTTTTATTATTTATTAAATAAATTTTGTTATTATTAATTTAAAATCGTTATAAATAAACTTATATTTTTTTTGTTTAAAAATATCGTAAAATGTCAAATGAACCAGAAAAAATTCCTTTAATTGTATATGATTATGAGAAAACTGAATATGTAAGTAAAATTACTGAATATTGCATATTTAATGTACTCGAGGTATAAGTTACGCTGGTAGGAATGAGATTCGTGAATGGGTTCCCTGCGAATAATCGCCTATTGTAAACCTCTTGAGTTTGGTTAAGATGATATGGATGGCATAAGTTTTAATCATAAGCATGATGATGATATGATGTATTCATAAATATTTTTTTTATTTTTTCTAGGAAATCAAATTTACCGAAGAATGTAAAAAATATGTAAAAGAAATTATAACAATATTAGAAAATACAAAAGGAGTTGTTTTTGATAAAGAATATGATATTGAATCTATTAATAATGATAGAGACAAAGATATTTTTGTATCTTATAAAGATTTTAAAATTATTGTTCGTTGTAAATATAGAAACTTAAAAAACATAGGGTATAATGAAATTGGTGATTTTGATTCTCTTATAACAACATATCATAAAGATCATATAAGTTTTATGGTTACGAATAAGAAATATTCTAAGAATGCCAGAACTGAAGCAAAAAACATGAATATTATTTTATGTCAAACAAGTAATTTGATTAAGAATATAAAAAAAGAAATCAAATTACGAAAAAAAATGGTTGATGAAAAAAAGAAAGTTTCTAATGAAGTTATGGTTGAAGTAACGAATGAATGAGTTTTTGTATAGTTTAAATAAAATAATTATTGAATAAAATAATCTTAATTGTTGATTTTAAATTATTTTTATTTTATTTTTTTTTTGTTTATTTAAAAATTCCAAATTATTGGAAGACAGTTTGATTGTGTTGGATCATTATTTTTTTCATCTTGAGCCAATGGTTTTACTTCTTTTATTAATTCTGTTAATAATATTTGTTGTTGATCCCAGGTTGTTCCACGATATTCTAAAGAAGATATTTTTTCTTTTAATTCTTCTTTTTCTTTTGGAAATGTTAATATTAACCAGCCCAATTCTGTTTGTACTTGAATTACTTTTTTTATATTGTTTTCCTTTAAAAGTTTTTCTTTTGAAGTTGTTAGGTCTTGAAATGTTTCCAAGTATTGCAAAGTTTTTCTAAATAATTGATTTGTCATTTTTATTTGATATTGAAAAAATAAAAATCCAAAAGATTATTATAACTTGATTTAAATAAATTATAATTATTAATTTGAAATTAGTAATATTATAAACTGAGTTAATAATTATTAAGTTATAAATATATTAAAAATATCAAATAGAAAAATATATAAAAATGTTATTAAGAAATAATAAAGTAAGTGATAATATATTAAGAATTTTATTATTCGAATTTATGTTAATATTTTTTTTTCTTAGATCGTCAAATATTATAATCATCGAGAAGAATGTTTGAAATACAGAAATAATATTGCTCAATATTTAAAAATGAATGATTATGAAATTGATCAAGGTTTTATTACGAAACAAATATGTGATGATAGAGACAAAGATTTATTAGTTTATAAAGATAACTTTGATTTTCTTATTCGATGTAAAAATAGAAGATTTAAAGTAATTAGATATGATGATGTTGGTTGTGTTCATTCTAGAGCTATATTGAATGATGTTCAAGGAGTTATTGTGACAACAACTGATTATTCTATTAATGCAAAACAATATGCTAATGATGCTAAAATTATTTTAACACATACAAATAATTTAGTTAAAAAATTGAATTTGCATATTGAAAGAAATTTTTTTTATGATTCAGATTAATAATTTGTTTTATTAATAAAATTTAAATATTAAATTAATAATTTAAAATTTTATAAAATTAACATTGCTTTATATGAAAAAGAATAAAAAAAAATGAAAAGAAAAAATAATGAACAGATTCAAATTAATAAAAAGATTAAACTTGAATTTTCACATTTACCAATAGAAATTGTTGAAGAAATAATAAAATATTATACACTTGAAACATATGATGAATTATTAGAAAATCATAATCAAAACAAAATAAATTCAAAATATAAAGAAAATTTCGATATTCTACGTTTAGTAAATAAAGATTTTAAATATATCTTTGAAAAATATTTTATTTCTTTATTTTCTTTACAATTCCATAAAGAAATTATTATTGATAATTATAAATTATTATTAAAATTTATTGAATTACATATTGATACTCATGACTTTACAAAAGTCTTTAATTTTTTCTATGAAAAACAAGTAAAATCTTTAACTTTTTGGGAAATTTTAATATTGAATGGATGTTTAATCGATTCAGAATATTATAATATAACAGAATTTTTTATACATATTAAATGTTTTCATTATTTTAACATAAATTCTCCAAATAAAATGTATGTTAAAAATGTTTGGTGTGGTTGTGATCGTATATTAACTAAAAAATTTGATGTTTATTCTGGGTTTTTAGAATCACAGATACAATATGAAAACCCTGATCAACTTATTGATTTTTATTATGAAACTTGGTGTGAAAATAGTTGTTTTGATAATTATTAGTTTTAGTATAATTATTATTTAGATATAAAAATATTTTTAATTTAATTAGTATCTGAAAAAAATAATTTAATGTTTGATTTGTAAAATAAAATTAATAATTAATAATATTAATTAATAAATTTTAATATTCTAATTTGTAATATTAGAAGTAATAAATTGTTATAAATAAATGAAATTTTATCGAAAATAAAAAAATAAAATTATCAATGAAAATGAATAATAAAAAAAATAAATTTGTTGATGAAACAATTAAAGAAAAAGATTTAATTTTTGACTTTACAGAAGAATTTTCGAATGTAAGTTTACTGAGTTGTTTTGTTATAAGTAACGCTGCTCTAGTAGGATGATATTTGTACTGTTTTCATGGCATTTGGATGAAAGGGTGTAAAACAAAATTACTCATGTTTTTTTAGTTTTCTTCAGAAAAAAAAAATAAACAAGATAATAAAAAAAGTAAACAAAGCATTGAAATAATTAAAGAAAGAAATTCAATCTTTGATTTTTCTGGCGAATTTTCAATTGTAAGTTTACTGAGTTATTTTTGTTATAAGTAATGCTGCTTTAGTAAGATGAAGTGTATCCGGGTTCATGGTGCATGGATGAAAGAGTGTAAAACAAGAATACTCATATTTTTTTTTAGCTTTCTTTAGAGGAAAAGAACCAAACGTATCTTTTATTAATCAAATATCTATTGAATAATAATAAAATTAATATTTACAAGATCGAAAATGATATTTTAATTGGTAACTATAAGAATCTTGATTTTAATATTAAGTGTTTATTCAAACAAGAATGTTATATGATTATGGAGAATGAGGTTAGAAGATTTGAAAAGGAATGTGATAAAAAAAGAATTGGTTTTTTAGTATCTAATGTTTATTTTTCTAACAAAGCTATTGAAATAGTTGAAAATAATGATAGGATTTATTTATGTTGCGAGAATGATATAGTTGATGTTATCAAAAAGGTTGAAAAACATAAGTGTTATAGTATAAAAAATAGGATGGAAGATATTGAACATCTTGAGTTTATTAATGAAACACAAAAGGAATTGATTAGTCGTCAAGATTGTATTAATGGATTGCAAAAAGAATTGATTGAACGACAGGTTTTATTAATAGCAAAATTAAAAGAATAATAATGTAATTAACATTTTTATTTATAAATATATTAATAAAATTAATTTTAATATTACAAATTAAATTATTAATAAAAATAGTATAAATGAATATCGAAATAAACTAGAAACAATTAAATTCAAAAAAAAAAAAAAATAACAAATTTAACATAATATAAATTTTAAATTTTTACAAAATAGATTATCAAAATTATAATAATAATTATAAACAAAATGATTTTTATATTTTTTATTCCCTTTTTAACAATTCTATCAATTTTTTTTATTCCATTTTTAATTCCAATAATGGTTTTAATATTTGTTTTTTCAATAGTTTTTATAATTCTTTTTTTTGTTTTCTCATTAATAGCAATAATATTTACAATTTTTATTCCATTTATGTATTTTTTAAATTTTCAAAATATTACTGATGGAAATTACATTGATATAAATTATACTGAAAATTGGGTTAATAATCAAGTTTAAAAATTTTTAATTATTATATTTTTATCAAACTAAATTTATTTATTAAATATAATTTTATTATATAAAAAACTTAATAAAATATTTAAATATATTTAATTAAAGAAAAAAAATAATAGTTGTTAAAAAAAATTAAGATGTATCCATTGAATTTTCATTACATCTAAAACTATTATAAATACGATATGTTTCATTATCATTAGTAGCAGCATGAATCATAGTAGCTATTTTATTATCACCATGCCAGATTTCATATTTTTGAGGAAATTTTAATTGATATATCATTCGACCAGATAATTCTTCATTAGTAGTTATATTACGACAAGTGATAGTTGAATAATCCAATTGAATTTGAGATGAAACAAAGGCAATATTTGCTTGATATTCGATAGTATTTAAATTCATTATTTTAATTGTATCAATTATCATTTTGAATGGAAGACCATGAAATTTTATTTCTTTTTGCTGAGGTTGAACTTTAAATTCGATACTTGTTTCAAGTGTTATTTCCTATAATATAATTAAAAATAAGAATATTTTTTTTTATAATTTATTTTTTTTTTACTTACGTTAGAATTTTGCAAAAAATGCATTGAGTAAAGCTGAAGTGTATTTGGATTATTGTTATTCATTTTTATTTATTTTATTATAATTTAAACAAGATAAATAATACAAATTAAACTAAAATTTTATAGTGATGTTTTTATATTTTTTTAGATAACATTGTATTATACGAAAAAAATATCAGAACTAAGATTTTACTTGTATTAATTAATAATTAAAAACATTTTTAATAATAAACTTTTATATTTTTAAAATTATTTTTAGATTGAGTTTTATTTATAATATTGTTGATTATATAAGATAATAATTTTATTTAATATTTAAAATAAATATATAAAAAAAAAAAATAAAATATTTTCTAAATAACGTAGAAAATAAAAAAAAAAAAAGAAAAAAAACTTTTCTAATAACTTAGAAAATAAAAAAAAAACAAAAAAAAAAAATGAAACATGATTAAATCATAAAAATATATATTTTAAGAAAAAAAAATTCAAAATTATTTGAAAAAACCTAATTAATCAGATAATTCTTCATCTAAACAATTAGCAAATTCCAATGCCAATTCTTCACTTTCACCTTTAAAATAAGTTTAATGGTTAATATTTATTATAAATTAAGTTCAGTTTAGATTTTTAAATAAACAGGATTAAAATACTTACTATTATTTAAATTAATATATGAATATAATTAAAAAAAACTAAAAATTTATTAATAATATTTACATACCGTTCTCTTCTTTCTCTTTCTTCTAACTGAGCACGCACACGTTCTTCATTTCTTATTTGTTCTCTTTCTCTTTCACGTCTTTCTCTTTCTTCATTTAACACATCTCTTTTTTTAAGATTGTAAATAAAAAAAGTATCTTTGTTTTTACATAATATTGTACAGAATTTATTAGCATTTTTTCGTCTATTAGAATTTGTATCATAATGTAAATGGTATTCGCAACCATGTTGTAAAGGAAATATATTTGAACCAGGCATAGGTGTTTCATTTTGATTATTTGTTTTGTCATAAAAAATAATTCCAGGAGGAATACTAATTCTTGAATTTAACTTTATAAAAGAGAGTTGAGCTAATTTTGGTCTTATAGTTTCAATTTTAATTTGGAACGACACACCAGAAAATTCTTGTTTGTCATAATCATATACAAGTCTATTATTTTCATTGTACATAAATTTCAAAGAACCATCTGGTGGTGTTCTCAACATTGGTGTAAAATCGTAAATTTTAGAATCCCAAAAAAATGTATGTTCCATTTTAATATTTTATAAAGATTTATTTTACTTAACAATTTTTGGGGGTATTTTATAACTGGAAATATTAATAATAAACTAATTTAAATATTATTAATATAAAAATTTATTATTAACGTTTCTAATTATAAAAACACCCCAAAGTTTGTTTTGTTTATTCAGTCTGATAATTCAAAAAAATGTAACGCAATACAAAATTTCTGTAGTAACATAAATTAAGATTATCAGAATAAGACGAAAAAAGATTCTTGTTAAACATACTTTTTTAAACCAAATAATAATATTTTTATTATATTATTTATGAAATACAAATATAAAAAAGACCAATTAAATTTATTTATCATAAGCTTTACAGCTTTATTTATTTATTATTCATTTATTTGTTTTATCAATATCATCAATTATCATATTATCAGTATTATCATTATTATCATTTGTATTTGTATTGGGATTTATCATATAGAAATGCAATCCGTTTCATAACATCTTTGGTCTTAAAATAATAATCATCTAAAGAAAAATACATCATATTAAAACGGATTCCATTTCTTTTTATCATATTATTCAAATTATTATAGTATTTAAAAAGATGGAGATAAAATACTTACAATATTCTTACTAGCGATGTTTTTATGTTCATCTTTAACAAAAAGACCAGTGTAAAAATACAAAAACATACAAAAAATACAGAAAATACAAAATAAAAAAAACATTGTAATGGAAAATATAAATATCCATAGTTTTTGATTATTTTCGATAATGGTTTTGTAAAAATTTGTATTTTCTTGTATGATAATAACTTGCTTAGTGTTTGGAGACATATCTAAAGAGAAAAAAAATGATAATAAGACAAAGAAACATTATTAAAATTCAATAGATACATACTTTAAATCTTAATTGGGACTCCCAAAAAATTAATATTTTACGAATCAAACATTTATATATATTTTTTTTTATATGTAATATATAAAATGTTTAAATTAATAATTTAAATATAAATAAGATTATAAAACATTTATGCATAAAACAAATATGATAATTTTTAAGAGATAAACAAATTTATTATAGAATTAATTTTGATTTAAAACATCGCATAATACATCGAGTTCTTTTTTATCTAATTCTTTTTCGATATAAAAATTTAATCTATGTTTAAAATTTGATTGGTTACATAAGATAATATTATATCTGGAAGCATATTTTGTTGCTTTTTTGGAATAATTAAGATTGGTTATGATAAAACCCTGTACTTCATAATAATTAGATTCTATCGCTGTTCTTTGAACATCATTGAATCCAATATTTCTTTTATTTCTGAATTTACAAGATATTAGACTTTCTATATCTTCTTTTTCAACCAATATGTTTTTATCTTGATCATCAAAAATTTTTTCTGTAATAAAATTTTCATTTATATCATAATCATCTTCATATAGAGAATCAACGATTTTATTTTTGAATCCTAAACAAGGATTTATTTGTTTTGAATCAAGATCCTAAAATAAAATATATGTTTAGTATTTCATGTATCACAATGCTTATAATTGGTAACTTTCCACCGTACTCATCCCTGTAATTATATATACAGATCTACATAGGCGATTCTCTGCCGGTAGACAAAGTCCCGACAGCCGCAGAGCTCACTCAACCACAGCGTGACTTACATCTGTATATACATTCAACATTACTCCACTAAGTAAATTAATTACCTTATCAGATTTAATGATCATATCCATGATTTTTTTTTATTTTAATTTGAACGACAATAAAAGTTTTTATATTAGATTATGATTAATAATACAAATATTTATTATTAATAAATTACGAATATTTTAAAGTATAAAAATACCCCAAAGATTTGGTTTGTTTATTATCAATCTAAAATTATTTTGGATTATTTTTAAAGTTAGTTGTAAAAAAAAAACGTGTTTGTAAAAAAAAAATAATAAAATGACAAAATTTTGGAATAATACACTTCACTCGCTATTAAAAACTAAATCTGAAGATAATATGTCAAAAAATCAACTTTTATTACAGATTGAACAGTTAAAGGCATCTCTTGAAGAACAAAAACGAGAAAATGCTTTTTTAAAAGAATCACATGCTAATGAAGTTAGTTTTTATAGAGAATTGATTAATACAAAAACAAATGAAAATAATAATATAATTAAGAAACATGAAAATGAAATTGAACGAATTGAAAATATAAATAAAAAACATGAATATAAATATAATGAAAGATTGAAAGAAAAGGATGAGATTTATGAACGTGAAAGAGAAGAAATGGAGAGAATTTATAAACATGAAAGAGAAGTAAGAGAAAGAACTCATAAACGGTAATAAATATTTTATTATTAGTTTGTTTAATAATCTTAATTTATTAATTTATTTTTATCAAACTAAATTTTAAGCGAGGTAGAACTTATGCAACAAAATATTAATATATTAGAACAAAAAATTAATGATTTACAAGCATGAATCAATAATAATAATTTAAGATATAATATTTGCAATAATGAAGAAGATTTTAGATCAATTATTATTTTATTTATTATTTATTATTTTTTTATATATTTTAAAATATATTATTATTATTATCATTAAATAAAATATATTTATTACATCTGAATTATCTCCAAAGTTTTTTATTTATCAATTTTAAAAAATCAATAATTGATTTTTTATATTTTCCAAGAATAAACATAGTGATAATTGTTGAGATATAAGGCATATTATGATTTAAAAAATAAAAAACATATTCGTTATCTTTAAAAACAATAAAAAACATAAAAGAAGTAAAAATAGTTATTAATAATAAAATCATATTATCTTTTCTTTCAATTATTTTTAATAATAATTCATCTCTTCTTTCTCGTTCCTTTCGTTCTTCATTTCTTTTTTTATTTTTTTTCTTATTTTTTTCACAATATATTTCATATTTCGAAATACAAGAAACACATGTTTCTTTAGTTTCATCACTAGTAGAAATATGAGTATCTTTATCTTCTTTTGGTTCTGGTTCCATTCTTGATAAAATATTAAAAAATAAAGAATATATAAGAAAATAAAAAAAAATAATAAAAAATAGTTACTTTGATAACCACGAAAGAATATGTTGAGACGAATCTGAAGAACACATTTTTTTTTAATTCAATTATCAATTTTTTAGAATAGTTTAATATAAAATATTAAATTGTAAAACAAGTAATCATCAATTTATAGACAATATTCGATCGTCATGCAAGCCCAACCTGAATAGTTATAAATCTAACTACTCCGGTTTGGCTTACATGAAAATCCAATAATGAAAAAAAAATGGAAATAGATGTTGAAGTTTCGATAAACACCAATAAATGGGGTAAAATCAATAAAATTTGTCAAATCATGTAAGTTATGATCCAAATAAAGATTATCTATAAAACTTTAAATTATTATAATAATAATATAAATTAATTTGTTTAAATTTTTGGATTTTCTTACAATGTTCATTTTTTTTCATCCGATTATATTTTTTTTTGTTTATCAACAATAAAACAAATTAAAAATTTTAAATAATGGGAAATACCACTAGTAAAAAAAAAAGAAACCAAAAAGAAAAAGAAGAAAATAATGAAGACTTAATTGAATATAAAGTAATAAAACATGAATTGAGACTAAATGATGATATTCAAGTTTGTAATGATACATCAAATAAATATAGTATTACAAATGATTTTTCATTAATAAAACAAAAAAAATCGATAAAAATCGAAGAAGAAGAAGAAAACGAAGAAGAATAAAAGAAGAAAAAAATTTTTTTTTTTTTATTTTTGGATTTTAAAAAAGTTTTTTTTATTTTTTTTTATGATTCGATCATGTATCATTATTTTTTTTATTTTTAAAATCACATGGTTTTAGAAAGTTTTTTTTATTTTTTTTTTTATTTTTTTTATTTAGTATTATTTTAAATATATTATTCGTATATAAATAAAATATATAAATTATCATTTATTCATTAAATTAAAAATAAAGATCATCAGTTTTTATTTTCAAAATGATTGATTAATAATAAAGAATTTTAGAATATTTTTTTATTATACTACTAATTTTTTATTTATAAGATGTATATAATCGCAAATAACAATCAAAACTTGATTTGTAAAAGATCATCTATAAAACGAATAAATATAAATACGGATAAATCATTTTTAAAATTTATTTGATCAGATGGTTTCTACCGTACTCATTATTGTTTTGGTATCACTAAATGTTATCACATTAAGTATCACAATATATAATGATATAAAGAAAATGAATCGATCATCAAATTCAAATCGTAAAAGATCGACAAGATATCGTTGATAAATTACATGAGATAATATAAATCTTAATTTGGAAAATGATCAACAAAAAACACGAGATATCATTGATAAAATAAATATAAACAAACTTTATTAATAATATATACAGATGATGTAAACAAGTTGATTAATAATTAACGGATAAATAATATAAATAAATGTTAATAATTAAAATTTTCTAAAATCCCAGAACCCATCTTCATCTATCACCCTCCCATTGGCAGCTTTATCACTAATATTTATATTATTAAAATTTTTATTTTGAATAATTTTATAGCTCCCCTCTAACTTCCACTTCATATTTGTATCGGTAAATCTTCTTACCAATACAGGTATCTTTTTAATTTCTAACCCTCTTTTAATCGCTTCTCTAAAACAATAGAGTCTGCGATTATCGCTTGAATAATATGTATCATTAATAATACAAACTTCAATTGCTTGTATATTCTTGATACATTCTACATCTTCTTCTAATAATTGTTCGATTGTTTCTTCTAATGTTTTACCAGAATAGCTAAATACATTTGATATATTCGCTTGACTAAATTTTATATCAAATGGATTTAAAAAAGTATAATAATCTCCATCTGCTAATCTGGCTTTTTCTAATAAAAATTTAAAACGAAACAATAATAAAAGCCCAAATCCAAAAGCAACAGGAGTTGAAATTAAAATAAATAAAAGATTTAATATTATTAACAAATATTCTAATTGATATTTTTCATTTTTTAATACAAGAGTATCAGAAATATTTTCTGCTCGATTCTCTTGTTCGACAATAACAGTGGCAGACAAATCTTCATCTTGAGGAGTCTCTTCATTGTTTGTCGACCAAGTGGATTGGTCATTTTCTTCATTATTCCATTCTTCATTATTCCAATTATTATCTTCTTCTTCACCCCAATTATTGTAATAGTTTTCATCGAAATTTTCAAATGGAGTAGAATCTCCAATATTTCTCCACGAGATATCTTCATTTTCTTTGTTTTGTTTCTTGTTGAACTTTTTAGTAAGTTTTTTGAAAAAAGACATTTTAGATTTTGAAAGTTTTTTTTTAACAATTGATTTTTTTATTGAATTGTTTGATGAAAGGATTTCGTAATTTGTCATTTTTATATTTATTTTTTTTTATTTACATTCGTTTAAAACATATAAATTAAATTTATTTTTGTAATTAGATTTTATACATGATTAATAATTCAAAATATTATAAAAAAACCCCTTTTTTAAAGATTACCCGATATCATACAAATAAGAAAAATGGATTATGAACACAAAGAATTTGTAAATACATGCTTTATCAAAGAAAATTTTCCCATGAAAAAAAACAAGAAAATGTTTCGATATGAGTATAACCTTACACAATGGAGCATCAAATATGAATTTATCGACTATGAAAAACTAAATAAGAAATATAAAGGGAATATCTTAAAGATGTACTGCGAAGCAACACTGATCTTCAAAGATAGAAGATTCCAAATAATTGATCATCCATTACCTGATGATCAACATCTTATGTTTCATTGATTTATTAGTAATATGTATCTGATTACCAATTTGATTTGTAATTGAATGAATTTCAAAGTATATAATTATTAAATAAAAATAATATAAAAATCCGTGTTAAACAATGATTTGACCTCAAAATGTATCTGGAATTGGATTTCATGCATTTAAAAAGTTTAATGAGTATGTTGCATAATGATCTTATGATTATCGGAAATCAAACTCCGACGTTTTATCTATTTCCTATCAGGAAACAAAGAAAAGTAATGATCCGAAAGATAGTAGATTTGGAGATAATGATTGAAAACTTTTTAATTATTAATCCAAAATTTTATGGATATGTAATGATCGATAGGATTCATCGAATGATTATTAATTTGAAACGGTCAAGAATCATGATCCGCAGTGGAATCCGGAAAATCTTAAACGAGATAGAGAATTTAACGGGATATATTGAACACAAGTCCATTGTTTGTGCTATAGCCATGTAGCCAAAATACCTTATTTGATTGTATCAAAGTAATTTTTACTTTTAAAGAAATTTCCATATATATCTTAATTAAAAATATTTTGTATTCATTTCAAAGCTTTAAAAATGTCATAATTTTTCTTCTTTGACAAAACAAATTTCAAACAAATCAAACAAACAATCAAATCAAATAAAAAACATTTTAAATCAAAATATGACTTCATCATTTGAATCAATTGTTCTTAATACCCCCGTAAAAGGTGTTAGTAATAAACGAAGAGGAGGAAGAAAAATGGTTGAGAATGATGACCATTGTGATGAAAAGAAAAGAAAAAATCGTGATAGCCAAAGAAATTATCGAGAAAAGAAGAAGCGATATGTTGAAGAATTAGAAACTAATCATAATGAATCTATCGATCTGAATGATAGATTAATGAGAGAATTGGATACATTGAAAAAGAAGAAAGATGCGAATGAAGAAAACGAAATTCTTAAAGAAGAGAATAAAAAGATACAAGAAGAAAATGATTCACTTAAAGAAGAAATCGAAAAATTACGAAAAGAAAAAGAAGAATTGAATAATAAAGTTGAAAAATCACGAGAGAAAAAAAAGAAAATGTATATCGAGAATGAAAAATTACAAGATGAGAATAAAGATCTTAAAACCGAAATTCAAGAAAGTCAAGAATTAATACAAGAAATGAAAGAAGAAATGCAAAAAATGAAAGAAGAAAAAGAAAATCAAAAAATCCAAGAAAATACAATGAATGACCAAGAAATGGAAGTAATTGAGGATAGTGGTGAAACGAATAATATTGATATTAATATCATTGATAATATATTATTTAATAATAGTAGTGATGTATTATTAAATAATAGTAGTGATGTATTATTAAATAATAGTAGTAATGTATCAAATAACGGTAGTGGTGTGTATATAAATAATTTTACTTTAGATGATGTTTATATAGATAATTTTCCAATTAATAATTCGATAATAGATAATAATGATATAATTGGTAATAATTATTTAGGTTTAAATAGTATAGGATTTTCAAATAATAATGATTTTTTATCAAATTGGAATTATTCGATATTACAAAATTTTGATAGTATTCAAAATAGTTTGAATAATTTTTTTTAATTATTAATTTTTTTATCATTTTATTATTAATCTTTTCAATATAAATAAAGTCATCATTTCATCATATTTTCATCATTCAAAATGAATAAACGCAAATATGAAAATAGTAGTAATTCAAGTAAAAAAATCAAGATTAAGACTAAAGAAATCGAAGATCTTGAAACAATCGAAAAAACATTGTCGAAAGAACAAAAAGAGATTATTGATATTGTTATAAACCAGAAAAAATCTTTATTTTTCACAGGACCCGGTGGATGTGGGAAAAGTTATACATTGAATTTCCTAATAAAGAAACTGTATAGTGTGTATGAAAAGCATACGATTGGAGTAACTGCATCAACTGCATTAGCCGCATTAAATATCGGTGGTGGTACATTACATGGGTTCACAGGTATTGGAATCATGGATAAATCATTTGATGATACGATCACTTCTATAATGGATAAGACTTTTATTTATAATCGTTTAATGGGGTTGAAGATATTAATAATTGATGAAATATCGATGATAAATGCAGAAACATTCGATTTTATTGATGAGATCACTAGATTTATACGTAGTAATGATAAACCGTTTGGTGGGATTCAATTGATTTTATCAGGCGATTTTTTTTAATTGAGACCGATCAAAGGCGAATATATATTCAAAAGCAAAGTTTGGAATTTGATTGTTGAAGAATATGTTTATTTGAAAAGAATGTTTCGACAACAGAATGAATATTTTATTAATGGTCTTAATAATTTACGACTTGGAAAAATAGATAAAGATTTTTTAAAATATGTTAAAAACTTGGATCGAGAAATTACATATGAAGATGGATGTGAACCAACCAAACTCTTTTCAACGAATAAAGAAGTAAACATATGTAATATGAATAAATTGAATGACATAAAGGGAAAGACATTCATGTTCAAGGCACAGGATTGGTCCGTAGCACAAGGAAATAAAAGTAATAATAATTATAAAAGATCACATAAAGATTTAATTGATTGGTTGGATAAAAGCACTTTAGCGGAAGAAAATCTATATTTAAAAATTGGGGCTGATGTATTGTATCTTTGGAATGATAAAGATGATAATAGATTAGTAAATGGAACTGAAGGAAAAATAGTTGGGTTTAGATCTGGTAAAACAGTATTTAGAGAAGGTGTCCCTGATAAGGTTTTATCACATAGTTTAATACCGATAGTCAAATTTAAAAATATAGAAGAAGAAGTAGAAGTGAAACAAGAGATATGGCAGAAAAAAAATAATGAAGGTGTGTTGATGGTAACCCGTAAGCAATTGCCTTTAAAATTAAAATATGGTATTTCTATACATAAATCACAAGGCATGACAATTCCGATGTTAGAGATAGATTGTAAAAAAGTTTGGCAAAGTGAACAAATATACGTAGCATTTTCACGAAGTGTAGATCCAAAAAATTTACGAGTAAAGAATTTTAGAGCAGAAAAAGTGAAAGCCAATGAAAAAGTGATAAAATTCATGAATGAAAAATTCAAAAATATTTTCTAGTTGTTATTAGTAATTAAAATTATAATATATAGGAATAATATAATGTATTTTCGAAAAAAAAAAATGAATAAAATAATAATTATTTTTATAATATATATACTTTTATTTAAAGAAATAAACATGACAATCCTAAATAAACATAATATTTTTACAAACGAAATAATGAATAAATTAACCAAATTTGGAAAAAGTTCAAATGTAGATGTTTATACAGTTGTTCGTGTATTAGACAATATCGAATATGGGGTAGTTAATTTAAAAAAATCGAATAATGAAAAAATGAAAATTATTATCCGTGGAATCAAAGGTAAAAGTGTTGGAAAAACACATATTGAATTATTATCGGTAATGTTGGGTAGACTATACGGAACTAGATGGGGACACAAGATAATTATTGTACATGAAGATTCAGCTGTTATAAACATCAAAGAAAAGATTAAGAAATTTGTAGTTTTTATTCCTGTATCACAAATAGTATTTTATCTTCGAGCTTTGAGAAGGAATTATATTTTATAAATCATTGAAACAATCATTATTTGGTAATTTGTGTATTACTTCAAAGCGAGGAGCAAAATGACCACCATAATTTCTCATAATATAAATACCACATTTATATCTTTTTGTTAATTGATCATTAATATTTAATATTAATTTAAAACAACCTAATTTTTTATCATATGTAACCAAAGTATCGATATATCTCCCTCTCCCTTCAGGAATTATTGGTAATACATTACAACCATACATTTTTGGTTTTGCTGCGGGTATAATATTAATAATAAATAATATATAAATAAATATTGAAAATTTTAATAAAAGAATATTTTTCATAATTATTAATTAAAAAAAAAGATTTAAAAAGTGTTGGTTTTTAAGAAAATAGATAATATTTACAAAATGGAATTAATTGGTACTATAGTATTTTTTAAAGATAATGATTCAGTATTTAAATATACATTTAAAAAATTTTCATTTTGTATTAAAATGACAAGACATGAAGATAATATTGTTATTTTTTCTTTTCATGATTTTGATTCAAGTGAAATTAAAATAGAAAATAAAAATTTTGAATGTTTAGAAATAAAAGAAAGAAGTATAATACACAAAAGACCATTTACACCAACTATGTTTATCATAAAGCATCCAAAACAATATATTATAAAACATAATGGAGTTCAAATATTATCATTGATTCCCGAACAAGGACGATTTATGATTTACAAACATTTATATTATTATTAATTATTTTAGTATTTTATAATAAATTTTATTAATATAATATTAAAATAGTTATTTATTTATTTCATGTAATACATTTGGTTTATATAATAATATTTAAAAAAAAATATGAATATTTTTTAAATAAAATTAAATATCTTAAAACTATTTTTGATAAGTTTTTTGTAATAATTTTTCATGTTTTTCCATTTCATACATACCAGATATTTTATCAATTTTACTATATCCAACACCTACAGCTATTAAACCACCTACAGCACCTCCTATAACTGGAAAGACACTATTTCCTCTAGCAATAGCTTTTTCAACACCATCCAACCAAGTTGTCTTATAGAATTCAACAAATTCTATAGCTGATTTTTCTTCTTTATCAAGTGCCAATAATTGAGAATTATATTTTTCTTTTTTTTTATTATCTTTAGCATTTTTTTTCTTAATTTTTTTTATTTTTTTTTCTAATTTAATTCTTCTTGTTTTTTCTTCCCAAACAGATAACTCAAGATCACCAACTTTTTTTATCAAGTTTTCAAGTACATTGTAATTTTGTTCTACAGTCACTTGGGTTTTTATTGGATATTGAGTTGTTTCATCATAAGACTGTACTGTATTTTGATTATTTGTTGTTGTAATTGAGTCTTGAGTTTCCATTTTTTTTTATACAATAATGAAAAGTCTGGTTTTTATATTTTTTTTACTTTATTTTTATTGGATTTAATTTCAAAGTTTTTTTTTTTAATTGTAAAACAAAAAGTGAACAAGTAAAAGAATTTATTTTGTTTCAAATTTATTATTAATTTTTTTTTTAAATATTTAATCTATTATTTTTTTTTTTGATTAGAATATTGTTTTACATGTTAAGACTTTAAGATTATTTGTTTTATTTTTTTTTTTGCATTATTTATATAATTCTGATTACTAACTATTATTCTAACATGATCATTAAAAGATTGTTAAATTATATTTTTTTGTTTATTAATCAAATTAAATATTTTACATTTTGTTTAATGACATTTAAAAATTTTGTTTTTATTAATTGAAATATATAAAAACTTATTCATTTGTTACTTCAATAACAACTTCATTAGAAATTTCTTTTTTCTGCTCAACCATTTTTTTTCGTAATTTAATTTCTTTTTTTATATTTTTAATCAAATTACTTGTTTGACATAGAATAATATCCATATTTTTTACTTGATTTTTAGTATTTTTAGAATATTTCTTATTTGTAACCATAATGCCAATATGGTCTTTATGAAATTGATTTCTAAAAGAATTTAATGATTCAACTTCTGTGTATCTTATATTAACTTTTTCTCGATACTTGCAACGAATAATGATTTTGAAATTTTCACAAGATACAAAAATATTCTTATCTCTATCATTATTGATAGATTCGATATCATATACCTTATCAAAAACAATTCCTTTTGTATTTTCTAATATTTCTATTATTTCTTTTACATATTTTTCACATGCTTTTTTAATTCGGAGTTCCTAAAATAAAAAAAAATATTTATGAATACATCATATCATCATCATGCTTATGATTAAAACTTATGCCATCCATATCATCCTAACCAAACTCAAGAGGTTTACAGGAGGCGATTGTGTTACCGAAGGACAGTCATAACACCTCACTCTTAAACTCCCAGCGTAACTTATACCTCGAGTACATTAAATATGCAATATTCAGTAAATTTACTTACATATTCAGTTTTCTCATAATCATATACAATTAAAGGAATTTTTTCTGGTTCATTTGACATTTTACGATATTTTTAAAATAAGAAAATACAAGTTTATTTATAATAATTTTAAATTAATAATTCATAAAATTTATTTAATAAATATATGTGCTAAAGTTGATATTCATCAAAACAACAATTTTTACACCAAATTTCATAATAAAAATCAATAAGTTGATTAGGGTTTTCATATTGTATCTGTGATTCTAAAAACCCAGAATAAACATCAAATTTTTTAGTTAATATACGATCACAACCACACCAAACATTTTTGATATAAATTGTGTTTGGAAAATTTATATTAAAGTAATGAAAACATTTAATATGTATAAAAAATGCTGCTATATTATAATATTTTGAATTGATCAAACATCCATTTAATATTAAAATTTCCCAAAAACTTAAAGGTTTTAGTTGTTTTTCATGAAAAAAATCGAAAAGTTTTGTAAAGTCATGAGTATCATGCAATTTAATTATTTTTAATAATAATTTATAATTATCAATAATAATTTCTTTGTGAAATTGAAAAGAAAATAAAGAAATAAAATACTTTTCAAAAACATTTCCAAAATATTTATTTATTAAGCGAAGATTATTTAAATTTTCTTTATATTCTAAATTTAACTTATATCGATTTTCAAATGATCCATCATATATCTGAAGTGTATAATATTTTAGTATTTCTTCAATAATTTCTGTTGGGAAATATGGAAGTTTAAGTTTGATTTTTTTATTATTAGTTTGAATTTCATCATTTTTTCTTTTCATTTTTCTTAAGAAATAATTTTTTTTTTGATAATTATATAAGTTTATTTGAATTAATAATAATTTGTTTTTATAAAATTTTAAGATTTGTACAAGTTAAAATTATACTAAATAAAAAGCATTTATAATTTAATAAATTATTTGTCTTACTTGATCGTTTTAAGATTGATATGGTTCAATTTCAAACCGATCAAATAAGAAAAACAATTTTAAGTTGTATTTGGTTTCACTTGTAAAAGTTACTTATAACTCTCGCCACATAACGGCAACAACTGTGAGAGTCTAGACCAATCCTCGTTTAAAATAAATCTCAGAATTAATCCATGAGCCGTTCAAAGTGAGACATAGCATGAGGCACTAACCCACATAATATGCTATACCATTTCGCTCAATAGAAAAAAAATATATTACAACTTTCGTTTATCAAAGAGAAATTTGACATGGCCAAGTTGTATTAAGACCATCTAAAGATAAGAAAAAAAATTGAAATTTACGATTTCTCTACTATATTATTTTATATGAATAACCAATTTTTGCGTATACAAAATTTTATGCATATAATGTGTTAACCGACATAGACATCTATCAGAACTAGAAACAAACTTTCCTCCTTTAAAAAAAAATAAACTAACAACTCTAACTCTTCTGTTTCCTTTACACCCT